TATTCGACGATTCGAACTTCATATGGTTCAACAATAAAATAGTCTTAACTACCAGGTCGACGCTTTTGAATTCCAAAAGGCCCGTTGAACATTTAGCAACGGGCTGATTTTGGGGCACTGAAAGAAAAGAAAACATTAAAATCATTGCGCATATTTTTCACGCGTGAAATCAGTGCTCCGAAAAATGACTAACGTATTGTTTTTGACTGGACCGCGTCCTGCAACCAGGACTGTTATCGCTGCCTTACGAATCTTCGAGCCGCTAATGTCCATCGGTGCGTTGAAGAAATGCAAAATCTATTAAGAAGTCTTAGTCGATTTTTATTATATTAGCATGTTACATCATAACATCAATGCAGTGATGTAAATATAAAATGTCCTGAGGTAGGGGTGAGAAAATATCGATTTACCAATCTATTTACGTACTTAACACATTTTTGTTATATTTGTAATTATAATATATACTTATAATAAAAGGTAAAATATTTACTCCTGTCATATTTTATGGAATTTTAAATATTGATTATAATCAATGAATTTTTATGTTCTATAGAACATAAAAAAAGCTCAGGAAACTTAAATAAACGTAAATAAAAAAATTATTTTAAAATTGTGTATTTATATATTTTTATAGAACTTAAATCAAATTGTAGATTTGATTTATTGTTCAGGTTCATGGTTATTTTATAGTTTTACTTAGTGTAAGAAATGGGTATACAGCCTGGCTATTGTTATAGGCACGTCGTTAGATCGTAGGTATATACGAAACCCATTTATATTAGTATGCATAGTTGATGGGCCCTAACTATATTCAGTTTTCCGGCAGGAAAAATGGACCCAGCATGCGCCTGCGAGCAGTGTTCTTCTTGGTCGCCGCCTCCACGACGATAATGACCGGTGGCACAGAAAAATCTCCGCTGCCATACTCGGGCTTCCTGGTGTTCCGCTGTATTCTTCTGGACCGTACCTCGTGGTTTTTGTAAATGTTGCTAGCATATAAATATCATTAATACCGTATCGCAAATATTGTTCGACCGAAAATAAACGTAGTTATCTAACAAACGTTCGATACGTACTCTCTGCTCAAATGGCGTCCAGTTGGTTCTACATGTTGGCCTCCGTCTTGAACCGCGTGGTGTCTATGCTCACCACATCGACAACGTGCTTTGACCATTTTCCTGTTCATATCTGTCAATATAGTATACTTGCGTCCAGGGACTGGAACCTGTAGGTTTTTTCGGTTTCGGTTTTGGTTGTTCAATGAATTTTTTAAGGGTTCCGCTTTCCGTTTCGGTTTTTTTAAAAGAGTAAGGGTTCTAGAACCGGTTGATTTCGAATAATTCTGATTATTAGAGATTTATTAAAAAATAATATGAAATTATTTATTTATTCTTGTTTAAATTGCAATTGTTTCATTTCATGAAAATAGAAGGTATTATGAATAGTTAAAAAAATAACTATAAATATATTATATCAGCCTATTATATTTCTTTGAGTTAGGTTAAGTTATTTCATTCCAACTCATAGTAAGAATTTGTAAAATATTTTATAATATTGTGAAATATTATGATTTGATGAAATAAATATCTTTAATTTAAAATTTATTTTTAATTAGGAATCATATTTAATACTGGCTACTGTTATAGCCACAAATTTGTATAAATATTAATTGTATTTAATACTTAATAGATGATAGAATGATATACTCATTGTAAATTGTAATATATTAATAAACATACAAAAATAATAATAATAATAATTTTACAAATTTACTCATTATATACATGACACTATAACAATTTACAACACAAAATAAAAACATAAAAATGGTTTGACTTTAATTTTTCGGAACCGACAAATGGACAAACAAAATAGCATTACCATAATTTTACTAGTTTAAATAACTGACCTAAATTAACTCTTTTATAATTAAGGTTACGGTTACGGTTTTTCATTTTTGGAAATAAAGGCTCCGGTTTCAGTTACGGTTCCTAAATTTTAAAGGTTAACCAGTTCCAGTACCGGGTTTTTTCGGTTACGGTTCTGGTTCCTGCTTACGCCAATGTTAAACGAAAAGAGCAACGAATTCTGAACGACAGTTTTCAACCGTGAACACGCGTATGCAGTTAATTTAAAAATCTTCGAAATAGATTCAATAGGCAATCAGAGTACACATACACGTTTTCATTGTTTCGACAGGTCAATTGTTATTTAGAAATTCTCTTGGAATTACGGAATTTTTGTGTAAGGACGGGATGAACTAAGTTATATAAGTCTTTCTGGTCAATTCCAAGGTGTTGATCACACACACTTTTCCGCAGTGCCAAACCGTTATACACACGATGTTCGTACCCATATTATTCTTTATTGCTTCCAAATACCTCAACGTATCTATTTATCTATCTTAGATAAATATTTAGTTTATCTACTGTTTATTTATCTAGATTTACTATTTTCATGTATAATATTTAGTTAATATTTTGAGTGTTTGGGGACTCGGAGATTTTGCCGAGACAAAAATATTCAATTATGAAAATTTGTAATTAAAATTAATATGATTGAAATAGTATCAGGGGCGTATTTAGACTTACTTCTAGAGGGTGGTGACTCAAATGTTTTCTTTAATTCAAGCTTAACATTTACAAATACAATTTTTGGTAATATTTAAATCAGGTGAATCCTCAATATTTGTAGTTTTTTTTTTTTTAATCTAATGCCGGATCCACTAGGAATCGACTTTTGTATAGTTCTTTTTTGACACCTATATGTTTTTTGAAAGTTACGCCTCGGTTTTATTCGATTTTTCACCTAGTATGGAATCGACAAAAGCCCAATTCAGTATTCGCAGCCACGCGTAATTTTATTTCGTTATAAAATGATCCGCATTAAAAAATATGAAACGTGTACCTCATATAAAATCGATTCTTTAAACACGGATTCAGGTGGGGGTAGCGATTGCCCCCTAAAATACGCCCCTGAATAGTACTCAAACGTTTTCCCAAATTTGTTTGGTTGTCATTCTTACACTTTCCCATTGGATCTTCCACTGTGTTATACAATATTTAAAATTTATTGTATTATACATAGGAGTAGGTAGTTTTATTTCCTGTACATCTCCTTTTTATATATTTAGTTATAAGCAGAGCCGTGTCAAATATTCCAGTGCTCCGGGGCAAAATTTTTTCTACGGGACCACTGGGCACAGGTAGCATATTAAGTGCAGATAAGGAGGCCCCCTTATTTTTAAAACACTACGGCGTCTGGAGGCAATTACCCCCTTTGACCCCCCTTTAACACGGCCCTGGTTATAAGGTCGTATAATTATAATTAATATATTTTCCAGACCCGTAATCAGTACATTTAACATAATTTTTCCATTGGTTTTTAGTAAGTATAATACAATATGATACAGGTACATACTCGTAAAATATATATTATATATATTATTAATGGATATCTAACAGCACCATAGGCGTACGCAGACCTCTTTTTCAAGGTATGCAAGAGGCTGCCACTGCCTACTCCCCCCATCCCCCCTAAAACTGTAAGTTAATTTAAACGTTCGAAATTCTGGTTCTTAATAACTATATAATTTAAAATTTTAATTTTTTTTCTCGGAAAAAATGACTGAATAGCCATTTCTTAATCGTTATAACTGTCTTCATAATTAAAATTTAAAATAAATTAGGAAAAATAAAATTAAATACATAACGCTTGAAATGGTTCGAATAATACGTTAAAATAAAGTAAATAAATAAAAACCTAATTAGTTGTTAACAGTTAACAGTTGAGTTCTTAATATCACCAATAATGTTTTTGGGATTGAATTATGGTATTTCTAAATTTCATTAACACATTAAATCGTTATTATAGCATATAATTTGTGTTTCAAAAATAAATTAAACTGTCTGAGACTGAATATAAAAATATAATAAAAATCATAATGTAATACAAAATCACATAATATTCATAAGATTAAATATGTGATCATTTTTATTTATTTTTTGTAATTTTAGAAAAAAGGCTCTATGTTTAGTGTATGCAGTTGCATACCCTGCATACCCTCTGCGGACGACTGTGAACAGCACAATGCCATTAGTTACCTGTTATGTGAAATATCATTACCGGGATGTATGCATTACTGGTGTATAATAGGTACATGTTACTATGGGCGAAGGGCCTTGGAAATCATAATATTTGCATGTTAATAATTTATTATAATTATCCCTCCCTCAACTTGTAAAATAACACAAGGTGCATACTCAGTATTTATTTATATTACATTTATACTGAACACACAGGTACAACAGCATGTAAACACAGGCTGTATAAATGTATATATTATTTCTTTGACTCTGTATAATTATCACTTAATTAAATAGTAAATATATACTTATTTTATGGTACAAATAAATAAAAAAATGTTCTTGCATAGTTTAACGAATTTATTCTAAACTTCTCTCGACGGTAACTCCGAGTAGTAATATACTCTAATGAATTTTAAGATTTTAATCGGCCTCACGTTGTCTCATAAACAGATATTTTGTAAAATGTAAAGGAGATGAACTAAAAATTGTCCATACTAATTAATCGTGACTGATCGCTTCACTTGCAATAGTTTACTCACATACAGGAGTTCTTGAAAACTTACTGCATCCGTCGTCGCTGTGTTGATAGAAGAAATAAATATATTTGTAATAAAAAAACAGACCTACGAATCTGTTCTAAAAAAAGGAATCCATGATTAACGAAATCGAATCATTAAAACGTTTTTGTCACAAATACAATATATGACTTTCATAACATTAAACGATTGTCAAAGCGGCACGTGTGGACGTGGGTTCGAACGAGGGAAAATAAATTTAACTTCCAAAACGCGAACACGCGATCTATGACGAGATTATAATAACGAGTGTTATCACAGAAGTTGACTAGGTTTATCTTATCTCTTGAGCTCTAACAGTTTGCGGTTTGTCGATTTCTTTTATTAAATTTTATTATATTTCTTTTTATTAAAAAAAAAAAAAAAGTATACGTTTTTTTTCGAGTTCTATGTTTTATAATACGCTTATCATATATAGTTACGTACCTACACGGCTATAAATGATTACTCTATTAATATATATATAAACGACCATGAAACTACTGGGGTATAATAATTTACGTAATTACTATAAAGTCGCAGTCCTCAGTTCGTCAGCTTTAGTTTTACTATAATAACTATAATATTCTTGTAAGAAACTAGTGTTCTGTGCGTTTTTTTTTTCACCGACATCATGTTAACTTGAGCCAAGTTCAAATAATTAAATTTATTATCAAAACGAATTATTAATTTAAAATAACTACCTAGTTTGTTAAGACTTAAAATCACAAAAAATAAGGTATACCTGATTTGTTTTTAAAATGAATGTACCAGTAGCAATTGGGTCTACGTTTTTCGGATGTATGAGCAATGTGGTCTTTTTAGAACTCTTAGTCAAGTATACAATGGAATCAGTTATTTGTGGAATTTCTTGTATTCCAACAGTATAATTATTATACCCTATTTTCAATTTTAGAGAAGATCCTGGTATAGGAAATTTGATAACATTTTCCCAGTTTTTTTTGATTGCGTTACACGGATTCATGTTTACTGCAAAATTTGGAACAAAAAAACCAAGCATCAGTGTCAAGTATGTAAAAATTAACTATCTAGTTTGATTTGAAAAACATATGAGAACTCATACTGAATGGTAAATAAGGTAACAAAATTATAGTCGAGCAAAAATGTTTGAGAAATATCTCATTCTTATTCTTATTTTATTGTTATAAATTATTTAACAATTATTTATTAAATTTAAACAATTAAATTGTATTATTGAGTAATCTGACAGAGTTCTGAGAGTTTAAAATGTTTTAAAATGGTCTTTTCATGCCTAAATTATTTCTTTAACAGGCTATTCGATATAAATATTAAATAGAATGGGCAAGAATGGCCAACCTTTTCTCATACCCTTCCTAATTATTGCTGTCTTTTTTTGTCCATTACTTTTTTGGTAGCTGATTTGTCTTTGTATAAATTATATACTATCACTCTATCTCTATAGTCAGCTCCAATCCATTCTAATGTATAGGATAGTTCTTTTTACGGTATCTTATCAAAAGCTTTTTCCAGATCTATAAATGCTATAAATGTGTCTTTATTAAATTCTAATTGTTTTTCTATCAATATTCTTAAGCTTAAGATTGCCTCTTTGGTACCTTTGTTTTTTCTGAGCCTGAATTGTTTTATTTATATAATAATAATTTCTAAAACTATAAATTAAAACTTTATCCAAATAAATATAACCAAAATATTATAAATATTATTTATAGAATCAATTACTGAATTGCAGTTTCAGAGTTGTCATAAAAATTAGTTGAGTTTGTTAAACTAATTGTAAGCATATGATTAACATTTTATTAAAACTTATTTCAAATATTTTATAATTTATCATAAAATATATTTTTTTATTGTTTTTCAGAGGATATCTGATTTTGGTTGCAATGTTTTTTATTACTAATGTTTTAAACAACTATGCGTTTGATTTAAATATTGCCATGCCACTACACATGATTTTCAGAGCAGTATGTTTGTTCAAAATAATTATTCATAACATATTATTTTATTGAATACATATTAACAATGTACAAACTACTAATATCAGTATAGTTTATAGTATAGTAATGTATTATTAATTATACGCTTTCCAAGTATATATTAAAATAAAGTTTAATGGGAAAAAATGTTTATTTAGTACTTAATATCATGTATTGAAACAAAAATTATTTGAAAGAAATTATTCTGCATTAATTAATAATTATAATTTTTAAATAATCGTAATGAGATAACTACTTGAAAATTTGGTTATGTTATATTACTTTTATAAAAGAAAAAAAAATAATTGTATATTTATCATTATGCTTATTATGTGTATAATAATTTCAATTATAACATATAATTTGCATTGTTGCTAATATATAAGATTAAAATATTTTTATTTGTACTTAAAATATTTATTATTTATACATAGGATACATTTTTACATTTTAGGGGTCATTAATAGCAAATATGGTTATGGGAGTGATTATATTGAAAAAAAAGTACACTCTAGATAAATATATTTCTGTAGGTATGATTACCACTGGCATTTCAATATGTACAATTGTATCTAGTCAAGATGTTGTAAGTATTTATTGATATTTGTATATTTTGAAAATATTTTAAATATCAATTCTTAAATTTATTCTTAACAGAAAAAAACTGTTGTACGTGGTGTGGTTCAAAACACATCGGAACTGGAAGACTTCTTTTGGTGGTGTTTAGGTATGTGTTTTAATGTATAAACTTACCATATAGTAGTGTTATATTGACTATAATAAATGATTTAATGCATCTTGTAAGACTGTATAATATGTCCGCATGATTTTAATAATTAAGTGCATTTGTGTTGTCTTTGTCCCGCATTCAATATAGTAAAAACTACTCATTTATTATCATCATTATCATTGATGTATAGAAATGATGAGAACTCTGTAAAAATATTAAAATTCAGCCTGAAGTTTACTTAAGATTTTTAGATTTATGTGCTCAATTCTCATCAATTTAATTTTAATACTATACAAATTATTAAATATTATATTCTTTGTTTAAAATAAAATTATAAGTATAATTTAAAAATTTGGCCTGATCCATCTCAAATAATTTTTATACCAATGTTAATTCTGTTTACAGAATACATAATATTCCAATTCATCAACTGTAATGACGTATAGAATCTGAGTAGTTGCTATATTGCATGTTTGAAAGACTAAGACAACTTATGGCTTAAATCATATCAAATACATTTAAAGTAATAATGAATAATTTTTAAAAAATTTAATTTTAGGAATTGCATGTTTGACTATTGCATTATTTATTTCTGCTCGTATGGGTATATATCAAGAAACATTATACAAAAAACATGGTAAACATCCGCAAGAAGCATTATTTTATACTGTAAGTATTTAAATATGGTAAATACAAGTACTAATTGAACCCAATATAATTTAATAATTATGCTCACTTACAATACTAATATATGCAGTTTTTAATAGGCTCTAGATTGGTTTAAGATAAGTTTACATATATTTTTTAAGTTACAAATTATGATAATTATTACCAACAATAAAAATATAGAGCAGTGTTTCCTAAAGTGTGTTCTGTGGAATTTAAAAGTTCCTTGGAATAATCTTAAAGGTTCTGCAAGGTGAATATTGAGTCTAATAATTGTAATAAAAAAATAATCATGAATTATCTTTAAATCCTTACTTGAAGTACTTATTGGTTTTTTCAATAAATAATTGAAAAATGAAGGTTAATTGGGGTTACATACATTGGGGTTCCACAAAACACAAACAATTTCCTAAGCTTCCGTGGTTGTAAAAGTTTGGAAACCGCTAATATAGAGGTTGTAAAAGTTTAGAAACCGCTAATATAGAGGAACCAAAAATATATACAAGTCGTTATTTAAAATTCATGTATGTTATACATGAAAATGGTTTTGGAAGTTGAATACATTTTTAGGCCTTGTTTTGATGCTCAAGGAATGCAATTATGTTTTTTTATACATTTTTAATGAATAATAAGAATTACATTTTCTTGCTGAGTTTAATTATTGTTAGAAATCCATAAAAATAAAAATGAATTCTTGTAGCAAAAAATTTAACCCACATTTTTTTTCTACCTATCAAAATCAATTACTGTAATGAGTTATAAATATTTTAAAAGTTGATTAATTTCAAATATATATTGTAATTGTTATTAAATTTTGTAAAACTATCTTATGATCATTATACATTTTTTATTATCTTTAATATCTTTACATAAACATTGATAATAATTTTTCAGTATAGTAGAACCACAGAATAGGTTAATGGTAGAACATTGATTATTTGTTTATCTAGGATAATAGTGGGGAGGAGTCACATGAATAATGAAAACCACTGTGAATCAAAATTTTTTATTTAACAAATTTTAATTAAATATTTTATTAATAATTACATTTTATCTAACCTATGTTATATAAACACAAACTGTCATTTTTTAATATTATCAGGGCTTGATATTTGAAGTAATCAGTCTTTGATTTTTGCGATTTGAAACTATTTTTTTTACTTTTTATTTTTCTTGAATTCATGACATGGAAGTAAACATTTTCATGCTCTCAGAAGTTCAAGAGGATATTAACTACTTCCATAAACCTATTTATAATATAGTCTACACATAGTTTTTTAAATTCATTTTATTTATTATCCTTCACCTTTGTATAATATACCACCTATGCCTTTATTTTTAGTACATAAAAATTTTTCAAAGAATGAACACGGATAGTTAAAGTTCTATTGTATTTTAATATTTTATTTGAATGGTACAAAGTTTAAGTAATTAAACCATAATTATTATATTTTTAGTTTTTATAACAGTTTTATTATAACTGATACAGTTACGTCATATATTTTGTGTTTATTCATGGTTAAATCATAAGAGTATGTTCAAAGTCCATTATTATATAATTAAAAACATTATATAAAAAAAAAAAGTTTCAATTATAACTTTGTTGATAATCGACTAAATATGGTTTATTTTTTATTTTTAGCATTTGATACCACTTCCATGGTTCCTATTTTTGTATCCCAACCTCAAGGAACATACATTAATGGCTTTGGAAAGTAAACCATTGCCATATATTGGATTTGGTATACCTGGTACTATTGTTTACTTGATTGGTAATGTTTTCACTCAGTATCCTTTTATAACATTTTAGTATTTTAATTTTGTGTTTGTATAGCTGTATGATTTGTTATTTTTTTGAGCCATACATTTTTGATATTTCAAATACTTAAAGAAAAAAAAAAGTGAAATTATAAAAGATATAAAATATTGAGTTCTGTTTAAACAAAGTAATACAAATTATAGCCAGAAAATTATTTAATCCATTCCAGTTGTCTAAGATAGATTTCACTGTACCACAGTATTATATTTAAAAAATATTTATTTGAAAGTTATCAAAAGGAGTTTAAATTACTTTAAAATAAATGTTAGTTTAATTTTGTAATTGTTATTTAATACAAAGATTTGTTTAGATACTTGAGTTTTGCTGACTATTTGCATGAGGTACTGTTTTATTATAATATGTTTTATTATACATACATATTTCACTTAAGAAAAACAACTATTTATAATTGCTTTAGATTAAAGTAAGTCTGAAGTTTTTTTGAACTTCTATTTCTCTAATGTTATTTAGATATTTTTGTAGTTGCATGAATAGTTAAAATAAAAATTCTTTAACTAAATTGTTATAGATATATTTGTATAAGCTCAGTGTATTTTTTGACAACTGAATGTTCGTCATTAACTGTAACACTAGTTATAACATTGCGAAAGTTTGCCAGTTTGTTGTTTAGTATTATATACTTCAGAAATCCATTTACTTTGTACCATTGGATTGGAACTCTTCTAGTGTTTGTTGGTACAATTATTTTTACTGAAATACCACAAAAGGTTCAACAAATGACCAAGCCAACAAAGAAAACAAAAATTGCAAAGAAAATAAATTAAGATTACTCCGTTATTTTGATGTCGCGTTTTGTTCTCGGTGATTACAGGATATTTTTTTAAGTTTTGTTAATTATTGTTGAATACTACTTGTTTAGAATAATTAAAAACTTATTAATTTATTTTATTTGACAATAAATAGAAATAATTTACAAACAAATAAGAAGTCTTTAATCTAGATTTGGTGGAGCTTGTTAATGTGATTCCTAACTTTAAAATATACTCTTAACTCAATAATAAAATAAATAATAATAATAATAATAATAATTTTAATAATCAAATGATATTTTAAAACAACAGTGCTTTTACTAAGTCTATTAGGTGAGTGAGATTGGCAGCTATTTTGATCAATGGAAACCAAAATCCTTACTAAATGCGACAATGATGTCATGTAAACTGAAATATGTACCAGTAACAAACCCTAATAGACCTAAGATTATAGTAAGAATATCCATATGGAGTTTCCAATTGAATGCGCCGAATCCTTCGTCCTTCCAGACAACCATGTGACAAATTGGCGGGAATATCAAGGCCAAAAACGTGCTGGCGATGGCTCCGACCAATGATATAAACAGTGCCAGATGTGGTATCACTTCAGCTGCCAAAACTGTTACGACACAAATATTATATTATCGCGCCACGTGGTGGCAATTATATAAATTAATGAACAAAGTAGGTTATTACATGTGGCGAATACTAGAACGGCGCGTAAGAGGTACTCGGCGAGGGCGGGCGATTGGAATGGTCCGTATTTTTCTTGTACAGACGGCCACAGAATGGCGACGGGCACATAAAACTGTAGGGTGTAAGTACAGATAATCGCAAACACCATAAGTCCAACCACAATTTTGGAAAGACTAATCAGAAAAAAAAAAATTTTTTTTATCATAAACCAACAGTTATAAGAGAATATAATTTATTTTACATGAGGGTGGGTGGAAGGTTGAGCGTGAGACTGCCTTTGACGTCGTCGCCAAACCTCCAGAATCCCACGAAACCCATTGTCAATATAATAAAAGTCACAATGGTCATGCCGACGTTCAAAACTCCCATGGTTGACGCGAACCTATTGGGCTTTTCCATTTCCAATTGCAGAGGCAATACCTGCGAGTGTAACAAATATTAAAAATCGTGTTCTTTATGATATCAGAATTGACGAATTGGTAGAGAATACTCACCAGACTGATCCCTTCAAAAGCGTAAATAGCCGTGCCGAAGAATAGAGGTATTTGCGACCAATGAGCAACGGCCGTTCTAGTGTTAAGGCTCGGCAAGTCGACTATGCAGTACGATAGAATGATACCCAGACCAATTGCCATTGAGATGTTGGCTAACGTCGACAAAGGAGCGATAAATTTCAAATTCCTGATCATGGCGCATGACATAATGGGCAGCAACGCAAATATCATGTGAATGTGTATGTCAAACACGGTACCGTATTCATCACAAAACTGTTATAAAAAAAAAAAGACAAACATAGGTATATTTGAACCTATTTACATTCTTTATACTATTCTGGTTAGATATACGTTGTATACTTTCCAAAATAAAATTATCTTAGATAAGTAATAAATATTATGATTCATAAGTTGAAATTATTCAACTTATGAAAGAATTTAGGTTTTATATGAAATTTAAAAAATTATCTATATCGATCACCATTAGATTGGTCACCACTCCCAACGGCCTCATTTTATTAGAATTACAATTTCTTTTTAGATATTTATATAGCTCTTCAATATTTTCAACCTTATATTGAATAATTATTGATATTTGTTAAATATTTAAAAAAAATTAACGTAAGTTATTGTAAGTACAATACAAACATTTCATGATAGATAAGATGTAATATTTGTTAATAAACATATCAAAAAAATCAAAACTAATTTAAAAACATACCCCAATGATTTAATATGCATACTGTATATGAATCCGAACACTACTTATAATAGAGTTTTCTATACCGTTCTATACCGCGACGTGTTGTCTAAGAGTACCATGGTACTTTTATTCATATATGGATAAAGTAGGTACCTGTTTGATCGAGCTTGACACAAATAGTATGTATACGCAGCAGAATCCCAATTGAGTGATTATAACGAACACGTTAACCGTAGTCCTTTAAAATGTGCATAGATTTAGTAAATACATTTATATTGTTAAATTTTACTCGTACCTAAACAGATCTGCATGCTTCTGTAAGCTCTTAGGTCCAGTGGCGAAAGACAATTCGACAGTTTCTGAAAATGTTGGACAGTGTTCGAGTTTTAGTCGACTCTTCAACTTATGAGCAACATTTAACTGTAAATAATAATTTATTCATATTATTGGGATTTTCTTATAATAGTTATTTAAATCATAATTAAAGAAAGAGGGTACAGTGTATTGAGATTTAACAATTTTCATTTTGTCAGTTTTTTGTCATACAATTTTAAACATACGGCCGTTTAATTTAAGAAAATAATTTTCAAAAATGTATTTTCTTAATTTAAAATATCTTGGAATATAATTTTAATATTTTATTTAAAAAAATAATACCTAGTTGATAATAATATTAATCTTAGATGTGGATCCTTTTATTTCCATTAAAATATACCTTTTACAAATGTCGATAAAAATTTTAGTCAAGTAATTAATTATCGAGGACTCCTCCAAGGCATTTTATCTTAATACCGACGCTTACATTATCATTTACGCCCTTCAATTTTTATTTTTTTATCAATTCTCATATGTTTCTAATTGTTTCAGACTCCTAATCATATCTATTTTTCTTCAATATAACTCCTTCAATTCATTTATTTTCTCTCTCGTCCTCATGATAAGATCATTGACAGATTAACTGCTCATAAAATCGTCGAATACCTCTGGAATTTCCATAATAAATTATTATGGTCCCAAGTCACATTGGCATCCTTGGAAACAGTATCGTTACTAGACCACTCAAGGCCCGAATGTAAATCAAAACCTTTAGGTCCCTAATCATCAAAGTTTTTAAATATTTGACCTTTTGAGACCCCATAATATATAGGTCGAGGCCTAGAGCCTGTGTGCAATGCACCCTTTGTACACCCGGTTTTTACGGAACTGCTTGGAAATAAAACAACCGTTGGCAATCTGCACTAAAAACATTATCATTCCATCATCAATAAAATTACCTGTGACTAATTTTTTCCCTATACTCTATAAGATTCTAAAAAGGCTTGGATTAACTCTTGGTATTTTTTCCCCATGAATTTCGTCTCCTGGCATAAAAATATCTCTAAATTAATTCCCAACTGCCTTTGGTTCCACAATTTGGAACTACCCAGATTCACAATAGTTTTCTTCTCACTCCTCCGTATTGGTCATAATCTCTCCTCATTTTTTTTCTCTATTCACTTAATTATTCTTCCCTTTGCCTATTCCATACCCATAAAGCCGTCTGTGGTGTTCATCACATCTTCATGTGCTCTCTTCTTGCTCATTTCTATTTTGAATTATTCTCCAAACTAAAAGAGTTTAGAAAAGCCTCAGTTTACACTTTCCCTGACGTAATCCTCCTCCTTAATTCTCGTTCCCCCTGTCATCTTACTCGTTATAAATTTAATCCTGGACGCTAGTTACTCCTTCTGAATATTTCTCTTATATGAATTGTATATAATCGTTATAATGATCAATCTTTTTATTTTGTGCATTTTTTGTAATTATCATGTTAACCTGGAGATTAAAGCATAAAGAAATTAAAAAAAAAAAAAAAAACGAACCACCTATTACAAATAATAGTTATAAGCTCCCAAATAAGAGAGAGAATCATAAAAATATTAATAAAAACACTAATAAAATAAAAAAAATAATAAGTCTTTAAAAAGTGTTGGAAACCCACATTGGTATAGATTAATAGTTGTTACATTCATTAACGTTTTAAAAAGCATTATAAAACTGCTGTTTCACCAATCCACGTACCAATATGTGATTGTTATATATGCACACAGTGCCGATGAAAACCGTGAGAATGGGCGCCATCAAAAGACCACCATTACGAAAAGCGTCTCCCATGGCTAACATGCCGCAACCGATGTTGCCCTTTAAAAGATGCATTAACGTCTCGCAGTACCTGAAACAAATACAAATTATCACAATTTATCATCGATGTTAATGATGTTAATATATCTCCCTCCTTCCATAATATATTTTTCGCATACGTGCAATGCGTAGTATGTTATGTAAAAAAAATCATATTTCTCACGTGGTCGGATGTTCGGAAACCGGATGACCGTGCACAGCTTTTGCCACTGCGTCCACTTTTTGTTGATGTTCCGACGTGCCGTTAGCCTCCACATCTTGAGAAGTGCTGTTTTTACGAGATTTGTCTCCCATCGTTTATGTTGCTGAAAAAATATGTGCGTATCGTTTTATTGCAAACCATTATACATGCGTAACTTACGCCATCGACGGGATAGCCGCTTATTGTTTTCATTGTTCAAACAATAATAATTGCACATAAGTATAGGTTTATTAAATTTTTGTTTTTACTAATTCATCTTCTTTCGTTAACATGTGGTTTTCAATTAACGTTCGATGATTTAACCAATAATTTAAATTATACAGTTGGTCGGTGCGCATCTCATGATATCGTAACACGGCTCAAAAGGTATATTGCACATATACCGTATTTATATTATGCATAATATTAGTTTTAAATATAGAATCATGCTCTTTGCAATTGGTCAGAAAAATCAGAGGAAAAATATCAATAGGTACGTAATCGAAAGGGTACATTTGGTGGACGAAAGTATAATTAATGTAATTAATAATACTATACAAAATTTCATGTTAAAATTATATTGTGACATTATTTACCAACAATTAAATGATTTATAATTAAATGTTAATCACAAAAACCATTTAGGTACATACTACATTGTGAGAAAACTATTGTGTTAATGCTTATTACACGTATCAGGGGTGGACTGGGTATAGAGGTGCTTTAGGAGGAGGGACAACTGGACCTATTATTATTACATTTTAATCAATAAATATTTTTAGTTAATTGTGCTCAATTCATCCGAATTCGGATAGTCTAATAGTAAATGATTGGTGTTTTACCATTATATTTTAATATTACATTTTGTATACAGATAATTAATATGTTACTATCGTGGGCCTAGGAGGCGATCGGCCCTTTGCCTTCCTGGCCAGTTTGTCCCTGACATGTATGATTCTGCAGTTTTCAAACAGCAATTTAGATGTAACCAACTCGACCCACCTAAATATAATAACACTGTTTTTTGTTTTTTCAATGCCTATATCTCTATTTAAAGATATTTAGGAAAACGGAGGTTTTCATCATTATAAAAAAAAAACCGACTACGAATAATTTACAAGAAAAACGATATTGCAAAAGATTAAGTTGAATATAATCAACAAAGTGTCATAATAATTTTGTATAGAATTCGAGTTAGGCTTATACATAAAAGTTGTGTAAATGTTATAATAGAAAATTATTAAAAATATTTCCTTGTCGTCCAATGGAAAGAAACAAAAGTTTTAAAATCAACTAAAAAAAGAATAAGTTAACAGTAAACATACTTTAAGATAATCATGTTTGTAGAACATACACGGATTTCGAATAGATTATGACATTAAAAGTATAAATGTTAGCTTAAATACGACTAAAGAATAAGTGAACTGATGTTTTTGTATGTCAATGTATTTTACGATTAAAATACTGGCAGAAAAATCAAATATAAATAGTTATTTAAAGTACTTATTATTTAAACTTGTACTTAGTTATTAAAAATTTAACTCACTATATTGCACGTGGTGATTTGATCTACAAATATGAGAAAAAATTTGTCGTCTGAAAGAAACTTTTTACTTTGACCAAAAAATAACTTGGAAACAGATGACTTATAAAAATGAAACTCGAAAGAAATATATGGCTTATGTGACCTTGAAAACGATAAATGATATAGGGTACATATTATATTTATAATATATAAATATTATATTATATTATATAGTATATAATATAAGATTTGCTATTAAACTAAGTTGAATTAAAAACCGTTAACGACAATTTTGGCATATGGGCATTCGTTGACTATTGGCTTGGTTGTTAGTATAATTCATGATAATTGAGGTTTTAAAGAATAAAATCATTTTGGGATACTCCCAAACGATCATGATAAATAAGTTAAGTGTTTTTGAAATAAATCAAATGTATTGAGTAACTATAGCAATTATCTACAATGTCTATACGCATAATTTAATAAGGAAGCGCTAGAAAAGGTGGCTAGAATTATAAAAGTATAATTTAATTATCAACTGGCAAAAATTATGATGTGCCAAAAATTAGATCAAATCCATAGAATTAATATCCGAGCAAGAAATCGGTTACTTGAACAAGTGAAATATTTTAAATACCTAGACAGCTCAATCAACCAAGACGGCAGATGCATCATGGGAATACGATTTAGAATAACACAGGAAAAGTCAGCTTTCATAGACAAGAAACCATTTCATGCTCCAATAGTATGAGTATTAGGGCAAGGGAACGTTTCATAAAATTATGGAGTGGGGAGCTATTCGGATGAGAAACTTAGATAATAAATAAGGCATACGAATTCTACGAATCCTCGAAAGCTTTGAAATGTGGTATTTGAAAAGGATGTCACGAGTAATTTGGATAGAACACCGTACCAACCAAAGCATATTTGTGAAATAAAAGAACGCAGGGATATACTTAAATCCATCAATGCAAAATAATGGAACATGATTGGCTACATATTGAGGCACGAAAATGAACTAGTTTATAGAATAATGGAAAGGAAATTGAAAGTAAGAGAGACTGAGGACGTTCGAAAACTTCATTAACAGGGTAACAGGGAAAAGCGGAGCGCGAAACCAACCATAGGGTTGAATAGAAGGGAGAAAGAAGCATATAAGGAGCAGTCGCACAAATTTTTTAAATTTAATTTTTCAGAATGAAATATAATTATTGCCTTCATGCGATATGTCGGATTTTTTCAGCAAAATAATTTATTTCAAGTAAGAATACCAAATAATTTATAAAAATAATTGATATTTTTTTTATAGATGGGGTTTGTTTTAATTTTAATCTACATACAATATATACAAAATTCAGATTTTTCAAGCAGCAAAGTTATAATATATCAGTTTTCTATAGGTACGATTGTAGATTATATGACAATATATATTTACCTAGACACCGTTAGGTTGAATTACTAATAGATTGTGTTGGTTAAATAATAATAACCGTATAACATCAATGAATCAGATTGTTAATAATGGTGTATGTTTAAATTAACTGGTTCACGAGGTCCTTTGGTAAGTGAATTTATTAAGTGATAGCTTAATAAAACCCGCTAAATAATTTTCAAAAAATAAATTATATATATATTTATTTGTGTGTATGTGTGTGTGTGTGTGTATGCATTTATGTGTACGTACGTGGGCTACAATATTTTTATATAGGGTCATGTAGTTTATAAAAATGTAGAGATTATATGCATATAAAAATAGAACTTACGAGTTCATTAACTAATTATTCAATAATAACGCATCAATTAGTTGTTTTTATATATATATAAATACAATTATAGTTATTGTTTTACTTAAGATAACAATGTCTTATATTCTAAATAAGTAATAGTGTAATCAATAACAATTAGACCAATAAAATGTTTTTAAATTATTAGTCGAGATACACAAAATAATACGTTCCTATGTAGAATAATGATAAGAACCTTTTCATTAATATATTCGAATACATGTTAACCAAAATATACATATTTAATCAAATTAGTCAAATATTTATATTTATATTAGTTAAAAACGTAAAGTTATGTTTAATTAGTTAACAAATGTGTTGAAGTTGAATACATTTGATCAGTTATTACGAATGAACTGAAATTTATGAATCAATATGGTACAGAATTTTAATTTTAATACTTATTGATTGTTTAAGAAACTAGACCTTAATCTTTGATCATAATTATTGTAAACCGATTTGGATAATATAAATGTGATAGAATTGTTCAAGCGGCAAAGTAGTAAAAATGAAATATAATGAAATTAATTGAGTTATGTGAACAAATAAGAATGTTACTTGTGTTGTGTAATGTATATACGAGTAATGTAATTTTTTGATAACACAATCATAACACATTCATACACATTGAAAATTAATTAAGCCATTAAAAATTAAATATTAATTATAAATATATTAACTATATTATATTTAATAGTTTATGTTATCGATAATGTACAAAACTACTGATGAATGTTAATGGGGATATTTTTTTTATTATTTGTATGAACAAATTTTGGAATAAACAGAATAATTGATTGGTTGGACCGCTAAAATTATGTATTTATTTATTTTTATTTTTATTTATTTAAGTATTTAACTATATTTAATTAATTAATTAAATTAATTTAGTATTTAAATATATTAATCTACATGAAACATCACTTTTTCACTACAAATGTAATGTACGATGATAGATGAAGAAAAACGATGTAATGGCATGTAATTATAATTACTATACCCATGCAATCAATGAAAGATTCTTTTTATTTTTATTGTACAAAGTATATGTTTATATTACATATAGCTTAAGGAGTGGTATTCTGGGTTCATTATAAATATAATTTCGATTTCACTGTTGTGATTTCTTTTTATATGTTTATTAATATAATAAAACGCATTTTACTGGACTTATGATGTTAAACACTTGGACTATAGTGACTATTACACGTTTTAATTCCACGTTAAATTATTGATAACATCTTCCATTTGACAAACTACTAATTATTATTAATATGACTGTATTAGGTATACTTTATTTGAAATGATGCTTTTATTTTTGAAAATTATATTTTATTTTAATCATTAAAGGAAAGGTATTTTGAGTCCATCGACAGCATAATATCGACTTTATGATTGATATGTCTGCACATCAAAATTTGAATAAAATAGTATTATTTTCTGAAAATGTATTCATTTAATTTTATTTTATTCACTCGTTTAATGTACATTATTTAACTATACATATTTTTAATACCATGGAAAATTAATTACAAATGATTTGTATCTTTTATTTTACAAACTATAATAGTGTATTGAATATAATAATTAAAAAATGTACTTAAATTATTTTGGCATTTATAGTTTATTATAATTTTCAGTTTTTTGTTTTTTATTCATTGAACTGTAATTGCTTTAAATATTTGCATTTATAATTTTATAGCAACGTTTCATTTTGACATTGATGTTTTTCTTAAAACTTATTATTCTATACTCGTGTCGATTTGACTGATTAAAATTCAATTTCATTCACACACATGACCAACTCTTTATTCCATTCCGAACGTATATAAATTAAGTAGCTATTGAATCATACTTATACGTGTTAGAAAAAATTAGGTAATTAAAACATTATTATATAATTTGTATTATTATAAAAATGTTTTATGCCTATCATACAGTTGAAAAAATTAAATAAAACAATATAAATATTTATTGAAAACGACTTATTATCTATTATATTCTTAAACACAACACAATGTTTTTTCTTCGGTTCATCTTTTAGTACACTTAAGTACGTGTTAGAAATATTACACAATTTTTTTTTCAAAATCTTAGCCGTCGTGTACGATCGACGAAAAAATATGATACAATTATAAAACACTGTACACAACCTAGCCTAATCTCTCTGAATCCCGTGTACCTTGCGTTTATAAATTGTTTTAATACAAGTTCAGCAGTTAACCTCACCGAGTGCATATATATAATTTAATTGGTCGCGTATACGTACCGGTCATCACCAATATAGAGACAACGAACTTGCTGAATTTATGAATATGATTGAAAATAATAAAGTGTTTCGAATACCTATGTTATAATAGTTGGATACGGATGTATACGTTTTTAGTTTATAAACATTGACAACCAGATCGTTGCGATTATATTTAATACAAACATATTGATGATCATTTCAGAAACCAAACCAAAAGTGCCCCAATAACTACGTTAATATCCATAATTGTTCACGTAAATGTTAACAAATATAAAAATATAAAATATATACAAAAAAATGAAATAATACAAATATCAACAATAGGTATTTTTGCGCGATCTACGAGTACCTGTATATATTTGTAGGTATTCGCCATACTCGTGCTTCGTTTAAGCTCAAAGACAGATACATAAGCAGAAAAATGACCCTTTTAATCGGGTATGCGTGCGGTGATTTGAAAATATAATATGTTCTACGTAAAAACGATGAGTTTTTACTTACAATAATTGACGATTGTGTGTGTGTGATGTAAGCAAACTGATGCAGGTGCGGTTTGCAGCTCTGGCGGCTTGTTCGAAGTATCTATCGGGAAATTCGTAGATTTTCGCTGACAGCGAAAACAGGGGACACGGGAGGTATTAATATCAAATGCAGTGTCCAGGTCCCAGAGATGCGCGCATTGTTTTTCGAACGCACACCGTTTGTTCTTTTAACGGGCGAGCAGCGATTTGAAGTTCGGAAAAAAATTTAAAAAAAAAAAAAAAAAAGCACTCGTATACGCGAAAATTAAAAACTAAATAAAAACAGACGGGCGTAACGATGAAATCAGGCGGTAAAGATGTGTTACATTATTGGAAGAAGAAGAAAAAAACGAATGAATCCTTAACGACGAATAAAAACGGAACCGAAAAACCGAGAAAGAAAACTATTTACTCGTATTTCACCGCGGATTTCTTGTCACTTTGGGCCGGCCCGTGATGCCTACGGACGACGATGTTTTTGTGCCTGTTGTACGCGCGGTGTGTACCGTCCGCCGTTGGGTTTCGAACTAGAATGAAAGGGCCGCGCGCGTACGGCCGCGAAACCAGTTCGGATAGCTTTCCGGCTCGACGCCGGCGTGTCTTTGTGCGCGTGCGTGCGTGCGTGCGTGTCGGTGGCTCGCTGTGATTTATTTAATTAGTCGTGATTATTCATACTGCACGTCGTGTGTGCCCACACCGGCTTATTACTATTATTAATATTCCCCCGACACCGGAAGACCTCCTCCGGTCGTTGGATTTCCAGCACGTCACCACGCCGGAGCATCCGAGTCGGGTCCCGAGTACTAGGGACTAACCGCAGGTAGTGTACTAGTTGGGTCCCGGATTTTTATAGGTACTACACTAGTTGGGTCCTGAATTATTTTAGTTATTACACTAGTTCCTGAATATTTTTTGGTAAGTACTACATTATACTAACATTTTCCTTTCCATTTTAACAGACTTAGGACTGTCTATGATCTATTTAGTCCACAGGTATGATTAAAAATGTTTTTTATCGTTTTTTTTTTTTTTCATAGTTTCTTTTCCATTAAAATAAATGTGGTCCAAATAGATCATAGGCAGTCCTCAGTCTGTTAAAATGGGAAGGAAAATATTAGTATAATGTAGTACTTACCAAAAAATATTCAGGAACTAGTGTAAACCTAAAATAATTCGGGACCCAACTAGTGTAGTAATTTTATATTCGGGACCCAATTCGGATGCAGCTCATCACGTGTATTGCGAAAACCACATCGTCGTGGCTTATTACTGCAGGATTCGGACGGGATTCCCGCGTATCGCCGAAACGTGGAGCCGAAATCCTTAATCCTTATCTCTATACAAGTGTAGAAAAACGTGTGCGTGTGTGGTTGATAATAGGTTCTGTAAAAACCAATTTTCTGACAATATTGTTAAACATTTATTTGATTTTTTTCTCCAACCAAACAGCCCTTAAGGTTCCCTTTTTTTCTTTAATTTTCGGTCATGGTGCATTGTATTACTCCCGTTATTCGTTGCATTTGGACGCGTGTCACTTTTTTTTAAATATGCGCATTATCTCAATTTTTTTTCTCAGACCTATACACGTACTGAACACTCTTCCGAGATCTTCCGTTTTGATTTTCATCCATTTATTGTACACGGAGAAGGAATGGATTTGGTATGCATGCACTTTGAATGCTACTGTCTTACAACAAGAAAAACTAATTGTACCATCTCATATGTCCATGGCCGTTTTATTGGTGTTCGACAGTAAAATTATTATGCGTTTTTGGGAAAATTTTCTCTCATAATCTTTCCACGGTTTAAGTTTTGATTTTAAATTATTAATTCTACTAAACTGTATATTTTGTTAGCCTTTATTGTTGTTACTAATGTTACTAATAACTGTTAGATTTCACCATTTGTTTGATGTATATATTTTGAAATATTACCACGTGAAAATTGTAAATAAAGTTTTCACTTTCACTGTTAAATAACCTAAAAATGTTTCTAATGATGACTTTGGTGATTAGCTATGCATACCTATGTCTATGACGATGACGATTGTTGATTGCCACAGGCATGAGCTTGTAGTTCCCAAAGTTCTGAGAATTTTTTAGAAATATCTTCTAAACACTATAATATTGTGTTTAAATGATCTCATAGTTGATATAAAGAACCAAAAAATATTGTATTCCAATGTTGATTTATGAAAAATAATAATCATTACCGATACGATCCAATTCCTAGTACTTAATTTGAATTAATCAAAGGCTTCTAGTTTTCTGTTCCAGTTTTGGTTATTAATAATCAGTTATAATAAAATAAAAAGAATATCAAATAAATAAGAAACTCAACTAATTGTATGAGTAAGAGTATATCTGAAAATGTAAAGTATATTATCAAAACGCCACGATACTATACGTATAAAGTGATTTACACTTGACTAGGTTATTTATATTTTCTATATTCCAATATCCAATACGCAAATACACGACTATTGAGTTTGACACTGTTATTACTGTTATAAGTACACATTTTCGAGTTTAAAATTTCAACCACTTGTCAAATCGTTTATTACATACCTATTAACGATTTCGCTTATTTTTTTTTATCTATTACTTATATCTATTATTAACCAAGTGGCTATTAAATATCAATATTATAAATAATTAATAACTAGTGATATTTACATTATTTTAATATTTTATGGAGCATTTAAACTATATTTTTATAATGAAATAATATTAAACAAATAACAATACTTTGTTCGGTCTATTTTTATCATAAGTCAACATAATTATAATTAATAATTAATAGCACTAAATTGGTTGAATAATTTTTTCAAATTTTGGTTGATATGATACTCATATAATAAATTATTTTGAATATTAAAAAATGATTAAAACTGTGTTCAAGCGTAATATTTCAAGTATTAATAAAAATTAATTATATCATTATAAGTATCTATATAAAATAAAATGTTATTTTATTATGAAATTTACGTTTGTCTTTAAAGTTATGATATATAATATTAGCATGTTGGTTTTACGAAAATTTATTATGAAATATCCATAAATTATTATAGCTCAGTTGGCTGTGATAATATGTGGTTATTTAGAATGGTTAGTTCTAAATATATATAAATTATTGTTATAATTATTATTATTATTATTATTATTATTATTATTATTATTATAGTATTTTCCAATATTATTATTCCTGTTCCTTTGTAGATTTTTCAAAAGTCTAATACCTCCCCATAAACTTAAAAAAAGTTCATAAGTTATTTTTATAAAAAATAGTGATATGGAATAAATTACAAAATTATACTTAAATTGTTTTTTTTTTTAATTAAAGATTGTAAAATTGCACATTTTAAATCTTAATATAACATTTTTTTTTCCACAATTTCATCATCACTTTTTATATGAAACATTGTTTTATTATGTACCTACTCTATTACACTCAGTATAGTAATAAGAGTTCACTTTAAAACCAATACATCATAATATTAATAAATTAATTATTATTTGTTTTAAGCATATGATTGATTTAACAATGCATTTCAATGGCTGACCATATCAACATTTATCCCAGCATAATTATTCCATTTTATACATACAGTAAAAATTCGATATATAGTCTACCTTTTGTATCTTTACCAGTCGCTTGTGAATAATAAATTCATAATTTCCCATTATATAGTAAAATTAACATATTTAGAATTCTGTGACTGCAGAAAGATAGAGTTGAAAATGTTTCTGGGGTCTTTACAATATTAATACACACAATCTTTGTTGATAAAATAAAAAAATAAATGGTGATTTTTCAGCATTTATCAAATGTAAAAAGCAGGACACACTTTCCATTCTGTGAGATTTAAAATGTATTAAAAATACATAATTTATGGACAGTCAGCTGCCTATCGGAAACTCCTCTAATTCCTGTACATGCGCCTGTACATAATAGACACCTTTAGATAACATATTATCCCATATTTTCAAAATCCATCAATACATTCTTACCACAACTATCGTCTCCACCACAGTGTCCCGTCAATCCTGGTTCAATTTAGTTTTCGTCCGATGTATTATACTTATTTAAAACTAGTTGATCGACGGTATTATATTCTGATATATTTGTTTAATCTCAATATTCTTATTTTCAAAAAAGTAAAGGAAATAAAAAATTAAGAAAATCATACGATTATCGTATTATCCAGTTTTATTTACGTGTTTACAATTTTTGTCTATCCGTGTGGTCGTTTTGACAGCACGTGAGAATCCCAGTGTTACACATTCGGAATGTGATGTGATGTACCGTTATTTAAATAGTCGGAATCCCGTTCTAAACGAGACTAAACATGTATTACATGTTTGTGTGTATATGTGTATGTATATTCGCCGTGGGTATATACATCCTTTGAGTACTCATTTTAATGTCTCCCTACACAAGCCTTTGGAGAGGGTCCCGTTTGAGGTTTATGGACTGACTACTACCTACTACTTTTACTACTACTGCTGTTGCTGTTGCTACTGCTACTGTTGCTGTGAACGTATATTATACTATTATTATTATCATATATTTATGTATAATATCCTACGTGAGCCAGCAGGATGAGGAAATGGCCAATCTGTGGATCCCGCATGCGAAAAATTTAAATCCCACCCATCTTAAATGGCTATAATAATTCCATACCCGCGCGATAACTCGTCATGTCGGTTCGTGTTTTGACGAAAAGTTTCCAAATCGAGTTATGTAGTTCTCGAAAGCTCGTCCCCAATAAAAAATATTATAAATTAAAATACACGGGTAATTTACAAATCTGTATAATGATTATATCACCATAGTATGATATAGGTATTGTAGCTGATGATCAAAACTGGTTAAAATATTTTTGGCTTGGACCGTTTAGAGGTCTAAGACGGATACAATATAAAAGTTTCTAAAACACAATTGTAAATGTAATTATTATTACTATTACTATTCATGAAAAAATTATTGCAACCGTTTTATAAGTTTTAGCCCTATCTTTAATCAAAATCTTTTAACGAGTAAACAATTATATAAATTGCGTTGTCTTATCATTCAACCAAATATACTAAAGGAAATTCTATAGAATTATAATAATAATTTTAATAATATCATACCATAATTCTATAGTACTATAATGGTACTTACTTATCAAAATTATGATGTGGCTTTTTTTTTAATTATAGAGAACATTGAGAAGCAGGTCTTATACATTAGTTCCAGTGCCAACTCGTAAAAATGGTTCTCATTTTCAATAATACATTGATATAATATAAATAGAATTATATCTCCATATAATATATTATGTCTAGTATTTTTTTAGGTTGTTATATATCAGTTATTGGCATTTTATTCTTCTTGGTGGTGTTCCATAATTTGTTTGAAATAACAATTTATTACAAAATATCCAAGAGGAGAAAATCAAACTTAGATCGTTCGACAAATAGTTTCAAGAAGGTGAATAAATCTAGGAACAATTATGCACACGAAAATTATCAAAATACCAGTAACAATTACGTCAATAACAGTGACAGAGTATCAATAAAGATAATAAAAA